CACCCCAGACAACTCTTGGCCGGCTGCAGTCCTCTGTCGCAGCCACCTCCATCACCGTGCAGTCTCTCCAACCGACCAGGCTGACCCGTAGTGGCTTTGCACCTGCCGCCATGGCGCCTGGTAACCAGGGCAACCAGACTGGCGCCTGCAACGGCCTGTATCTGTACGCAGCCCAGGCCGGTGATGACCAGGGACTACGAAACACTGGCTCGTGTGTGTAACTTGTCGGCTCTACACGGTGTGGAGGTGCAGCAACAGCTCCATTTCGGCTGATCCAGATCCGGAGACCTCCCAATCTTGTCCAAAGTCTTCTCACGCACGACGCTGAGATGGTAGATTTTAGCTCTGCTCTTCTCCGGCCTATCTTTCACAACAGCGCCGTCTTGGCTTGTGCAGGTTCCGGCCTGACTGCAGAAAGAAACACACAACCACACGCATTCAACTTCCTCATTGTTAAGCGGAAATGGGCACACCAATACACACTCACACGTAGACGAAGACGGAGACGCGAATTCATCAGCTCACCAACAGGACAGGTTCGGAAGACAGTTATCGCCTAAACAACCAGGACATGTCTTCTACAAGAAAAGACGGAAGCATACCCAACTGTCTGGCAGCAGTGGCTGATCTGGAAACCCCATGAAAGCCTGAGCAGTCTGAATGCGGAGCCGTCCGTCGACTGGAAGGAGGCTTTTAGATGATGGGAAGAAGAGATCTGTCTGGGCTGTTTCGCAATCGCTCTTCACCTCAACTTGAAGAATTGGGTGAAATTAAGACTTTCTGTCATAGTCTAGTTTAGACTTCTTACCCGCACACAAAAACACCTACGCTCACAATAATATATTTTTACTGTCTTCCCTGGCAGAAAAGTACGCCTACTCACACAACGTAATATAGTGAATCCCGGGCAAACCTCAAAAAATAAGTAATTTAATCTCCATTTCACAGTTCACACATTGAGTCACAACCCTCTGTTTCAATGAAAGCAGAAGAAATGTTACAGTGACCTCAACTCTCTTCTCTCTTTTGACCAAACAAAAACACTACCTTCATCTCCGACTTGAGGTGATCATTTGCTGAAAGTTTGACCTCCTGAAAACTGTGCCGACTAAATCAGTGACATTTCGCAGATTAATTGGCCACTTGTACATATATCTGGCTGCTTTCCCTCTCTTGAGCTTTCTTTTTTTTACTTATTTACAATTGTCAAGACTTAGGCTATCGTTCAAACTAAAATATTTCTGGCCTCCCTAGGATATGATGCAAGTTCCACTATTTTCGGCCACTCTTCTCTCACTTGCCTGGGCTGCATCACACACCAGACGGTTGATAACTCAGGTGGGAGAAAATGAAGGTGGTTTGACTAGCCTTATCCCTATTTGCCAAATTCTTGCATCCAAGAGCGATATTTTCTGTGGGAGCACTTGGAAACGAGTCCGTAGAGCATCCAACGGCATAACGACTATTGGGTGGATGGACCATGAGACCTGTGGTGCGTCCAACCATTCGGGAATCAAACCGATAACCTTCAGCGGATTTAGTATGTGGGGTCATTTATATGTGGCCTTTTATTGTATGACTAAGAAGGGGATTATTTACTGTGCAGACCCGGCTGAAGATGGCGTCTAACTGTTTCCCTCTCCGTCTAGATGCCAATTCGTCAAATGAACGTGGCCATTGGCTTCATTGTATATAGACTGTTCCGAGTGCACAGTACATCTACCATACGCATTTACGATAACATCTCTCTTACTTATGACTTGCCGGTGAACACACCCATACTACATGCCCCTACTCAAGACGGTTTTCCTGGCCTTCGTTTCTCTTGCTTCAAACTGCATGCCAAAACAAAATGGCATTTTAAGCGATCTCCTGAAAGTATCATCCGAAGGCCAAAAGTTCCCTTATTCTAACATGTTTGAAACAGGATGCTAAACCTCTGCAGAGGATAGTTGACTTTGTTCTGGTTTGTCGATTATCAAATTGTCGCATTCACAGTGGGCTCCAGTCAACCTTCAGTGCTATATTTGATTGTCCCACACAATTTCGCATTCATCATGGTCATTTTTACTTCATGCTTTATTTATTTTCTATTTATTTTAGTTCAACAATGATCTTTCTATTATCCATTGGAGCAAACCAAATCACTTAAAGTAATCACAACTACTGCATGGTATGTGCAATTTCAGCCTATGTTTGGACAGATCGATGCTGGAAAAAAACTACTACGCTATTTCTATTAGCATGAGTCATTTTTCATTGTGTGGGCTTTAAGACAGTTATGACCATTTCCCCAATCCCAAACAAATTGACTTATGAGAAAAGGGTATCTCGTTGGTCGCCTTCTATTCTATTGCTTGAGGGTTAAGTTAGCCATGACGACTGGAAAGGGTAGTTTGCGGATGAAAGCAATTCTAAAGAGATCGAACACTCCGATTAATTTCATAGCGCTACAAGGACATGCATCATGAATATATTCCGTAACAACGGAATGCTAGTAACAATATAATGAAATGACCCTAAATTACTCATGAGTAGTCTAACTATTGCTAGAAATTAGGGGCATAAATATCCTTTGGGGTCTCCTATCGAGTGAGCTAAAAGTACAGAGAAGTGACTATGATTAGAACCAAGACAAGAAAAGACTAGTTGTATCGCCTCCTTGTTGCCGGCGGCTTGACATCCTCTCTATCCTTGAGTCCATTAATTGAGCACAAATAATTTTTACTTATCTTCTTGCCGGTATTATTTACATTTAATGTATTTCCGATTCGGTTTATTTGGATGACTTGTCTAATTTTACGTCTAGCAGACATAATCAGAAAAACGAGAGGTTTGAGACTATTCACTCTCGTATCCTGTTTCTGCCCTGTGCTCAGCCCAAACCAACCCAGTTTTCTTGACTCGTTCGTTTGAATTTGGTTGTGACGATGATACCTTGCTCTGACGATGTTCGTCAGATGACGGACGAAAACTTAGCCCCTTTTCACCAGAATCGAAGAAGATTACCTCAGAAATAGCATCAACATGCATGTTTCAGTAAAGCCAATCGACAGCTGGTCAAGAGGAATCCGCCGTTTTCTGCTGGTGGAATCGACTTTCGAATCTCTTTACCAAGCACTTTTACTGGAAGTGGAAGTAAACTCAACAATTATGAAACAAGAGATTACTCGAACCCCAACTGTTGAAGAAGGTTGTCCTTTCCTTCAGGATTATACCAATGTTCCATTACCATAGTATCGGCCACAGCTTTCGAGCCAATTCGCAGGAGGATAGACATATCCATCGTTTATCCTCTTTTCCCCTTGCTTCCCTTTCATAATCCCGGTCCTGACAACTGCTCATCAAGATACATATGCTGTGCTGTATTGTTTCCTCTGGATATTCGTTTCCAAAACATATCAAGTTAGTTTTTCTAGTTTATCCTTCCAGAACTGAGAATCAATGAGTCATAGGCTTCTTATGACCATACTCATGAGTGTCCCGATCTTCATTCAGTAAGTATGGTGAGTCTGGAAGTTGAGACTTATTCTTCGTTTATAAGTAGGTTTTCGAGACTATCAGTAGATCATTTATGTATAAAGTTTATTCACCAAGTGTGCAGAAAAATTACTGTTGGCTTCTGAGGTGAATTTTTGAAATTCTCTTCCAACTAATTCGTGCAGACATTAGCAAACAGAGGTGAGATTGATGAGCCTATAGGCAAACTAAATGTTTTCTCATAAATGCTGCGGTTGAATTTGAAGTAGATCGTTCTTATTGTCAAAGTAATTAATCTGGTTATAGACAGATTTCGGATTTGCTTCGTCTATAGGATGTCGTTTTCTCTTGCCAAGATTTCTAGTAGTGCCATGAGTACTTTTTCTCATATGGTGTTAGTGTACGTGGAATGTACATCAAAGCTCACCAAAAGTTCGTTTCCTTATAAATTGGTGTCTTTAGTTCTTTGGCAAAATTCTTATGAGCTCTTCATTGTATTCGATAATTTGTCACTCATTTTCTTTGATTTGAGGCAGCTAAATTTGGTCAGCTGATGTGATGCTATATGTTCGCTGTTGATCATCAGTCCAAATGGTTCTCCTTCGTGTACTTTCGGTAAACCATAGGCTACTCGACCTCTTGCATTCTTGCTTAGGAGTGAATTCAGTGTACATTTGTCGA